AACTAGACTGAAGAACAAAAGGACAGCAACTTGTCTGTTCCCCTTCCCCGATTCCCCAATGCTGTTCCCCTCCCCCAATTCCCCAATAAAATCTTAAATAATAATAAATTATGTATTTGTAATATTATACTCAAAGTAATAATTCTTACATTAATTATATTATTATTATATTATAAACACAAGGGCAAAAGCTTTTGACAACACATAGTTCAAATGAGTCTATATGCACATACTTGTAAGATGCCACTAAAATGTACAGTCTCTGATTCAATAATTCCACTTCTTGAAAGGACACCAAGAAAATAATCTTAAGTAAGAAAAACGCAGCCTACAAATGGATTACCTATACAAGCAAAAGAGAAGAAATAGCTGGAACCTTCAACTAAGGGAAGCCAGCCAAGAGACTTGTGGCAAATTTGTCTGAGATAATATAGCAATGTTCATAAAATGAAGTTATAGGAAATCACAAGGCACAAGTTATATGCAGTTCTTGGCAAATACTATATCTGAACACACGCAGGCACACAGATACACACATGTGCTAAGCCCAGGCCCTGTAAGTTGAGAGCATCAGTCCCTCTCCCACACAGCTGGAATAGCTCCAGCTTTCCCTTGACTGTCCCAGGAAGCCTGCCGCAGGGACTGGCACTGTGTTGCCCCCCGAGGACAAGCTTGTCATTAGCTCTGAGGACTGGGAACAAGACATGCAGTGCTGCTCTTCCTGAGAAGGGTCCAGCCACCTTGTCTTTGCCTCAGGGCTCCCTGGGGCCTGGCTCAATACCAAGTCCTCAAGAAAGGAAAGCTGCAAAAGGAACTCAGGGTGCACACCAACCCCACTCAAGGGACCAGGGCTAATGGAAGCCCAGCCCTTCTCTGCCCACCTTTGAAAGCCAAGCTAACAAGCTAATCCATCTCCTGGCAGAGTGGGTACTGGTCATTGCTTCACTCAGGCCTGCAGCTGCTAAGTAGAAGGGAGACCCAAACCTGGCCTTCCTTGGGATTCTCAAGACTGGCCTCCAGGACAATCAGAATTAATCAGCAAAGAGCCAACTAGGCTGGTCCTAGGGAGGACTCTCTTCCTGCCACCACTGCCATGGCTGCATGGGACTTAGCTGGATGCTGACCCTGAGAGGTGACCTCAGGCCAGAGTTATGACATGATGGGTACTTCCTATGGTGGAAAAAGTCTAGAGAGAAAGAGACCAGATGGCATCCTAGTGTATTTTCTGCAAAATGACCTGGGGAGGGAAAACAGCCCTGCTGGTGATATTACATACAGAGCTGTCAGATCCAGTGGCAGGGAAGGAGGCAAAGTTTTAATTAGGAGCAGATCTGGAGAACTGAGCGGGAGCTGTCCATCAGATAAGGGGGAAGCAGGAGAGGAGCAGGCAGAGTCACCCTGGGAGTGCTTTCCAGAAGGAACGCTACCCACCGGAGTTCATAAGAGCAGCATGTAGCAGTACAGGGGCCTACAGAAGAGTGAGGCCCCTGGGATGGGGCAGGGCTGGGTAAGGGCGGGAGCAGGGCACTCACTTCTGCAGCACCGCCTGCCACTCGCCAAGCTGGGCACTGATGGGGAAGCAGTGGACAGTGCCCTGGACCTTGGCACGCCACTCCCGCATGTAGTCCTCAATGTCAAACAGGAAGGGCTGCTGCCCAAAGTTGGCGTCCACAATCTCCCCAGGTGTCTGCAGGCCTACGGTGGGGTAGAGGTTGGCCTGAGGAGGAGGAGAATGAAATGTCAGTCGGGCCCTGAGGGCAGTGGGGCAGCAGGCCTCACCTCGCCTCCGGTGTAGAGGGGGAAGGTGCTGACTCCTGCAGGCCGTGGTTCCAGCTTTGAAAGAACTGCAGCAAGGCTGAAGGAGGTAGGGCTAAGCCACATTCTGCCCACCTCCCTACCAGACACTATTCCCCAAAGTTTGTGGGGAGAAAGCAAAAGAAAAGCAAAAGAAAAGCAAGCCAGGCTCAACGTGGAGTCTCTTGCCCTGCATCAGAGGCTATGGTATCCCCAAAGCCCAAGGTCCCTCTTTGGGACTCGGCCAGGGCACAGAGAGGCAGGCCAGTCTCCATGACCCTGCAGGTGTGCCCATGAAGATCTGCTGCAGGGGTGGATAATGGCTCCTCTCAGAAAGATCCAGGACCAAGGAGCCCTTTGCCACAAAAAAAGGAGCATATGAGGGGGGAGAAGGGATGGGAGGAGGCAGGAAAGGATGGGAGGAGGAGGAGAGCATGGCAAAAAGGGTTAGGTGGTTTAGGCCCCCTGACGCCGGCAAAGGGTAAAGGAGGGCCGCTGTCTTTCTTGTCAGAGGCTCATTAAGAGGAGGATCCTCCAGCCAGTAAGGTTTGGGCATGTCCCTCTGTGGATGTGGGACTCCCTGCTTTCCATCTATCGCCTGCCATGACGAGCTTTTGCCAGGTCACTCCCTCACTCAGTGTTTCCTGTGGCTCCCCACTGCTACTTCCGCGTGTCTCGCCAGCCTCCTCCCCATTGTCCCTGGGCCCCCAATCCTCTCTTCCGCCTTCCATCTTCAGGCCATGTGTCATTCCTGAGTGTCAGGTGCCTTTACTCCACACTGGGTTCAGCCCACCATGAGCTCTGAACCCACAAGATCTCATTTCCTTCCTTTCCTCTCCCACAGGTAAAGCCCACCTCCTCCAGTAAGACTTCCCTGAACTTCATTGCATTCGCTCACTTTCTAGCACTTGTTGACATACTGCCCACATTCATGTCTGGCTGTTTCATGTGACATCTCCACAACTACACTCTTCCCCAGCCAGGGTCAGAATTCTCCTCTTGTGTCTGTTCAATTTGCCTAGGGCCACAGCCCTTCTCTGGGGCCTCCAGTAGGAGGGACGGATCCTGATCCATAAACAAGAGGTTCTAACAAGATTCTGGATGCTGCAGTCTGGGTTTTGGAAGGCTCCGCAGATCACAGGGACATTTCCTTGGGCGTGATAGAAGTGCCCAGGATCCCAAAGCAGCCACCAAAGCCAGCAAACCCTTCCTCCTTCCAGAACCCGGCCAGTGCGTATAGAGCAGGGCCAGGTTCCTAGAATTCTGGGTGGAGGCCCTACATATGATGAGGTCTGTGATGACTATTAATAAAAGAGGACTGGGGTGCAGGAGGTGGGGATGAGCTCTGAACTAGGCCAGCAGGAAACCGCACCCTTTTCCAAGAAGAGAAAACCCCACAAAGCTCACCTCTCCACCTCAGGGCACACTGCACAGTAGCAGATTCAGTCCCCTAGGGTATTTGCTTTCCTTAGGGATCTCTGATGGAGGTGCACAGGGACCTAACAGTTCAGGAACAATTCTGTACACTCTGCCGTGGTCCACTGGTTGTAAGCCACACATACCTAGCTCAGACCAGCTGAGCCATGGAGCTACCCTCATCTCCACCTACAGCACCCCCTCAACTGCCTTTGGAAATGCCACAAATCACTACTTGCTCTGAGTCACAGAGGAAGACTGGGTCTTGCTACTGGAGAGAAAAAGACCAGCAGGTACCCACTACTGGTACTCTCAAGCTGAGAGCACAGCACACATTCCTGGTTGGGGAAAGGGCCAGACTCTATACCCTGCACTTGCAGGTACCACCATGCCCATCCCAGTCAGTCCCCAAGAGCCCGGAGTGGAGAGACCCAATAGTAGTACTTACCGGGAGGTCTGTGAAAGCTATACCTGTGGAGGGAAAGAAACAGTCATCAGCCCACAGACGGTCCGCCACAACAGCTGGGGAAAGGCTGATCACCACATCTACCCTGTGGTGGAGGCCAAGCACGTGCTAGGGTCTGGTAGGTTTAGACTCTGGCCTTCCTTTGCTAGGTGGCCTGGTCAGCAGTGAAGCTGGATACTGGAGTATTTGTCCACAGCTCTTCCACCCTCTCAGGAAAAGCCTGCTAGGAAGGACTAAAACCCAAATGTTCTACCCCTGAGGCCTCTCCAGGCCTGATCCTTCTCTTGATCCAACACATATTTATGGAGACCTACTACATATGCCAGGCCCTTTTCCATTTATTACCTCAGCTGATCCTCACACCAACTCTAGGGAGCAGGCTTTCTTATCCCCACTTTTACACATGAGGAAAGTAAACCTCAGAGGTTAAATGAGTTGCCAACAATCATAAAACTAGCAGAAGTGGTGGGGCTGGACTCATTCCTAGCCTGATACTCCAACATCATCTCTAAGCTGACAGAGCAGTGAAGACAGGGAAGGTGGCAGCTGCCCATCTCCAGCCAATACCCATCCAGGGATCCTAGAGACTATAAGTTGACAAAGCCCAGGTTAACACTGGCCTGTGGACTCTCTGAACCCTCCTGCCAAGAGAAGAGGCTGAGTTTCCAGGGACCTCAGCCTGAAGTGAGGGGAAAGGGGAGTGGGACTAAGCAGGAAAGAGGACTCAGAATACCCACCAGAGCACTCATGTTCTACAGGTTGAGAAACGACTCAGGGCCAAAGGAGGCTCTCCCAAGGATCCAAAGCCTTCCCATTTTTTAGATAAATTCTTGTATCTTCTAGAAACTTCTGAGCTTTTGGCCTGAAAGTTTTACAAACCACTGACTCCTTAAGAGGTCCCAGTCTGCTCTCCCAACCCCATCCAGAAAAGAAGCTGAAACCCCACCCACAAGACAGAAGAACAGGTGAGGGTCTGACCAGTAAATCTGAGGCCCAAATCCTGCCAGGGAGCCAGTGTATACCATGTGCTTCCTCTGTGCGGGGCTCTGGGCTCAGTGTCTCACAAGGAACCATTTAATCCTCAGAACCATGGAAGGTGTATGCTGTTTCTGACACTAGTTTACAGATGAAAAAACCATGAAGCAGAGAGACTATTTAAATTCTTTGCCAGGCTACTTTGCTCCAGTGAGGGAAGCTCATAAACCCCATGATCTGCCTGCCTGAGGCCACTTCTGAACCACACATGCAGTCAGTCAGCAGTCAGAGCTGGCAGGATGGACTATGGAAGCCTCTGCACTCATGAGGAGACCTCAACGTGCACCCTCCAGGTCTGCATGGGAGCTGCCTTCATGGATCTCGGTGTAGCCAGGCTGTAACTCCAGCTCATGGAAGAGGCTCAGAGAACCCTGGAAGAAGGGGGAGTCCAGGCTCCATCAGTTATCTGCAGTGTTACCTTTGGCAAGTTACCCAACTTTTATGAGCCCATCTGAAAAAACTAATCCCAACACCTCAAGAGAGAAACTGAGATACTTTGTGAAAGCTGCCTCATAAACTGTGAGGTCTGGGTACAAGGTGGCTGCAGTTGTGCCACACGGTGAGGCAACTGCCACACTTCTGGGCAGGGGATGACCTATTTGGGTTTGCCCAGCTGTACCTCACAATGGCACTCAGGAAGGATAAGACCTTGAGGTGTTTCCAGGAAGATGAGGAAAGAGGCTACTCCACCCGCCTATTGCACTGGACAAGGGCAACACTGCTCCCCCCAGCCCTGTAGGTCTCTAGGAGCCTCTACAAGGCCACCGTAATGACAACATCTGGGTTGGCCCATGGGAAGATGGTTCCCGGCAAAGATCCAGGATGCAAACAGGACATTCAAACTTGCTGATATGAAGTGCCCCGAGCCAGACAGACATAGGTCAGGGGTCACTGAGGCTGAGGGGAGGGTATAAAGGGCCCATGAGAGAGCCGAGCTGGATAAAAATGACTCTGCAAGTACACGGACCACTTGTGGATGAGCTGTCAGTCTCCTGTCTCCATTCACTCGCTCATTCCATCAAGTTATCTACTGAGACCTCCCAGGAGGAACCAGCTACAAGCCTGGCCCTCAAAGTGCTGCCAACTCAGCAACAGAGATGGCATGCATTGAATAATTACACAGACAAATTACCAATGACACATAGGGTGAGTGCTGTGACAGAAGCTAATGGAGTACATAAAAGGAGTGGGGAGGCCAGGAAACATCATTCTTCCCTAAAGGGGGAAAGGTTCTAAGGTTAGAGAGCAGTGATCGGCTTATTGATCCTGCATGAGACTCTGAAGCACATTTACTGATAAGCTGGCTTGTGGGGGGAAAAAACGGTTATTAGAAGATTCATCAAGTAGTTTATCACTGCAAGTTCAATGCCCCTCCGTTAAATTTCATGATCTAGAAAATGCAAGGGACAGGCGGTATACAATTTTTAGTAAAGATTCAGTAGTATCCTTGTGGACAAAATAGAAAAACATGAGTTTCAAACTAATATGATGAAGTGATTCTTAAATGGCTAGTGTCTAACCAGATAAGCTACAGGCTAAAGGCTCAAATTTCAGCCTTATACTCTTCCAGTACTTTTTTCTCAATATCTTGATGAAAACACACAAAACATGTTTATCAAATTTTAGGTTAACACAATGCTGAAAAGAACACCAAATATCTGTGTTGGAACAAGCAAGACCACAGAAGATCTTGACAGGCTAGAAAAATAGGCACTACTCCTAAATGAAGTTTAATTACAAGATGTGTGAGGTCTTGCATGGGGTCGATAAAAGGCATGCACTAGGAAGGTGAGTTTTTACAAATAGCGTGAGGGTTTGGGTTGACGTTAAGGTGGCCATGAGTTCCTATGTACCTAGGGACCTGACTAACAAAGAGCTCATGGGCCTTGGCACACATTTAGGGCCCAGAGCGGAGAGACACAGATGCAGAGAGGACAGCAGGGTATGCCCCAAACCGTGGGTCCCACAGCAAGTGCCGTGCTCTGAGCAAGGTGTGAACAAGCTGGAGAGATGTGAAGAGGGCAAGAATCCAGAGAAGAGGGGACTGGGGGTGGCTGCAGAGGGGCAGGTGAAGGGGGCCTTGGGTAAAGAGAGCCCATAGCAGTGGCCCCTGGGATTCTGACAGCAGAAAAACAAAGAGGCAGGAAATAGCTGGAGTCAGACAACAAAGTGGAAAATGAGGAGTCATCTTGAGATCTTGGCCTTGCCCTCTAGCAGCTAGCTCCTCGCCAGCTGGATACCAGCAGCTAGGTGGCCATGGATTTCAGAGGAGAGTTTCTCCAATGTGCACCTGGGTCAGCTCTGCAGTGTCTGTGCTATGCTCTCGCTGCCCACTCTGGACTGTGGCATCCAACTGCCCCATTGAGGAACGATGGCTCTTGATGCCAAACCACCAGAAAACCTGATTTCCACTCAGGTTCCCTGATTCTGCCCGGGTTTATCTCCTGGAGAAGCCACAGAGGGGTTGTGGGGAGTGGCAGCCCTCTTTTAACTGTCCCTCAACCCAGGGGAAGCAGGTCCCCCTGGAATTGAGTTCCAAGTAAAATGTCCAACTTCCTTTCCTGGCAAGGCTTGTGGGCAGCCTGGCTGGTAGGGTCTGCCAGATCAAAGACCTCTGTAAACCCATGCAGGAAGGCCCAGCAGTTAGGCATCATCTCATGACCACCCTGTCCAAGGGCTCCTCTCACTCAAAGGCCAAATATCAGTCGGTCCTAGTAGGGCAAGCCACCAGAATAGTTAAAGTCTCCCTCTCTCTCAAGTTCTAATCTTAAATTTCTATACTTGTACAGGATTGCTCTTCCAAGGGATCCTCCAGGACCCCCATCACCTTCCACTGATTGCTGCTCCTCCTGGGTCCCTGATTTCAGTTGATAGTACCACTAATCTAGCTACTTTCCCTTCTTGCTAGTGCTCTCCATTTGTCACTTAGCCCTACTTGGTCACCCTTGGGCCTTTGTCAGACCTGTTCCCCACTTCCTGTGCCCATCACCACTGCCTTGCCTCAGGCCACCTGCCTTTTCCCCTGGCCCTTTCTCCAGTCAGTCCACCCTCTGCAGTTTCATCAAAGGGAACTTTTTAAATATAAGTCTAAGTTGCTGTCTGTTAACCACAAACAGGCCAGAAGAGACCTGGCCCCATCTGACTCCAGCCTGTCAGTTTACCTCTTGTTCTAAAATAGTCTTCACTGTTGCTCCATAGCAACCAGCACTCTGAATGGCAGAAGGGCTGGCCAAAGTCTGGCCCAGATCACATGCATGTAAACCATGTGAGCATGTAAAACATGCAAGCATGTACTCAGGACCCTTAAAACTCTTCACCAACCCCAAACCCTGCTCCAACAGTACCACACAGGCCAGAAGCATGACCATGACAATGCTGCTCTCTCAACACTGACCCTAGGCTCAATAAAGAATCCTGAATGGATGGAGTAACAAAGGGAGCACCCCTGCTACCCTCCCTTCACCTTGCAGGGCTCCAATGCCTGGAAATGGCTGCAGTTCCCCAGAGTTCAGCAGAGGATCTGAGACACTGTTTTGGCTTCAAAGCCTGCCCCTGGGACTCTCATCAACCAAAGTGGCTTCACAGGACAGACCCTCCAAGGTCCCCTATGCACCCACCAAGGCTGTGGCCATTCTTGGTGTAGAAGCATGTGCCGTTGATGAGGTTGACGCAGCAGCCAATCACGTCTCCTGTGGTGAATGTGGGACCATAGGGCTGGCCAGTCCCCGAGGAGCAGAAGGAATGCCCATCATCGCCATGGTAACCATAGGAATGTTTATCCCAACCTGTGAGGAAAGAGAGCAGCCACAGCTGAATAGAGGTACTTGAGAGAGAAACAAGCCAGCCAGCCATGGAAGCTCACCCAGGTCTGAACTCTCCCCAGCCTGCCACCACCTCAGTCTGCACTGCTGGCCTCTCACAGAGCCGGCTGTGGACAGGGTCTGGCTGTGCCAAATGAGCAGTGAATCCAGCACCCCTACTGAATGAAGACGGAGCCCAAGTTGTAATTAGCAGGAACTAAAACCATGAGTGACCTGGAAGGGACTTACCAAAAGGCCATGCAACAACAAGGTGGTGATCAGAGAAAACCTCAAGGAGAGGGGGCTTGAACTGACCTCTAAGAGGTATCATGGTGGGTTTAAAAAATATATTCTTTTTTTTAGTTACAGAAAAGGAGTTTATTAGAAGTAAAAATACATTTTAAAGAAGCAGAAGTGGGCCCAAGCAGTAGAGAATGGCTCAAGGGCCATTATTAGAAAAGAAAGTACACTCTAAAGAGTTTGGAGTGGGCCCCGAGCAGAGGCAAGGCTCAAAATGCTCAAAAGGCCAAAAAAATTTTTTTTAATTGAAGTATAATTCACATGTAATGAGAATCTCTCTTTTTAACTGACAATTCAATAAGTCTTAACAAATTTTAACAAATGTTACCACCACCACAATCAAGACATAGAACATTTTCATCACTCCAAAAAGTTCTCTCATGCCTGTCTGCAGTCAATTCCTCTCCACCCACACCCAGTCCCCGGCAACACTGATCTGATGTTTTCTTATGATCTTGCCTTTTCCAGAATGTCATATAAATGGAATCAGAGTATGGAACGTTTCGGGTATGGCTTCTCTCACCTAGCACAATGTACCTAAGATTCATCCACATTGTTAGGTGTACCAGTATTTCATACCTTTTTAATGATGAGTAAAAAGAATTACATGGATATACCAGAGTTTGTCTATCCATTCACTAGTTGATGACATTTGAGTCGCTTATAATTTTGGGTAATTATGAATAAAGTCAATAAATATTTGCATACAGGTCTTTGCACAGAAATATGTTTTCATTTCTCTTGGGTAAATACTTAAAATGGTATTGCTGTGTTATAAGATAAGTATATGTTTAACTTGATAACAAACTGCCAAACTGTTTTCCAAAGTGGCTGTACTGTTTTGCATTCCCATGAGCAATGTATGAGTTCCACATTCTCACCAACACTTTCTATTATCTGTCATCTTTGTTTTTCTCTCTTAGCCACTTTAGTAGGGATGTAGTGGTTTTAATATTATTTTGACTTTAATTTGCATTTCCCCAATGACCAAGGATGTGGAGCATTTTTTCATGTACTTATTTACGATTGATTTACTAGAAAATGAATGGTCTGTTCAAATCTTTAACCCATTTTTTAAATGGGTTGTGTACCTTATTGAGCTATAA